GAATTATTTTTGCATTAGAAATAAAAATTAATAATAATAATAATAATTATTATTATTATTATATTTATTTTCCTTTTGTCACTTTTTACAGTTTTTATTTTCATTTTTATTTTATTTTAATAGGAATATTTGTAGTAGTAGTAGAAGCATTTGTTGTTGTTGTTTATGTTGCTGTTAGTAATAACATGTATAATATATTATTAGTAAATTATTTTTGTATTAGAAATAACAATTAATAATAATAATTATTATTATTATTGTTGTTATTACTATAGAAAATAAATTTAAAAAATCACAATTAAACATACAAATGTGTTACATTTTTAAAATATTTAAAATAATTTTATAATATATATTTAAAAAGTGGTACAGGTAAATCATTTTGGCTGTAGGGTGTTCAGCTGACTGCAAAATTTGGGAACCCCTGGTGTAGTTGATATGAGTAGCTCTGCAGGTGGTTTACAGAAGCAGAGAGACCTGACAGCAAACTGCGAGGTGGCATGTACGGGAAATGGCTGCGTGATCTGACAGGGCTGCACATAGCTCATTCTTCTCTGTCAGACAAGAACAGGAACAGGTGAAAGGAGAGCTGGGCCGGAGGTTGGAAGGTTTCGAGAAAATGAGAGCACACTCTGAACAGGAGGGCAAGGCTATGCTGTGGAGAGAAAAAAAAGGAGAGAGGGATAAAGAGGAGAATAATATATATGGAACAGCTAGAACTGTAATCACTTGAAGAGGGCATGAAATGACAGTCTTCAGAACGCAGTTAACATCCATAATGTGGTGTATTTCTCAGTAATAACGTAGGTTAGAGTTTTATCCTTCTGAATTGGAGTGAATCATGAAAAGTGGACATGTTATTATTAGTATTATTACTATTACTCATACATAGGAGTAGTGGTTTTTCAAGATTTTAGACACATACATGATAAAACTTGCAGAAAAGGCCCTAAAAACCACCCATAACTCGTATAATGGCAATAAGTTTTGTAGATGTTTCAGTAGATTGCTATCAGAAGATATAGGTCATAATGGCCGATAACCCAAAATTCATGGGCTTATGAATTTGATGTCCGAAACTAAATGATGAATCGATGCAAAATGAAATGACGAATCAAAATTATTCTGATAAATATAAGCCATGATGGTCTATAGATGAAACACATCAAATTCTGTGCAAAGTGCATAAACGGTCTAGGATGAGTTTGAAAAGTATATTTTTTCAAAAAATCCAAATCCAATTTTAAAACTGACAATGACCGTTTCAAACAGGTTTCAACAGTTTCAAAGGATATCTCAAGGAATTGATTCTAGCTCACACAGTTCCAGAGTAATTAGTGAAAGTTTAAATCTGATAATTAAAGCACCACCTAGTGTCTGACCGATGTACGTACAGAGTGGGTGGGATGTGAGACCATCCTACCTAGTTTCAACAATTACAGTCTTTGACTACCAGTTTTAGGGCAGAAAAACATGAAAGGATGAGGACAAAATCAGACCAAACACTTTGTAACTTTTGCTGGCAAAAATCTGTGCATATATATTTATCTGTCTTTATATTTAACTTTTACCTTTTAGTTGTAAAAAAAAATTGCACTGCTTTTGTGCTCATAAGCTAAACAGACAGCTGAGGCCATAATAAGGTGTCATTACGGAGAGGCGTCTGGATGTCAAAGGTCCCAGCTGTGTTATGGTGGAGAGGTCAAAGGTTAGCAAAGCTGCATTATCCCGGCTCTCATTATCAATCTTTTCACGAGCCAACTGCACAGTCAATATGTGAATTATGCTAAACTACAACAAACAGTCGATCTGTCACTAACACTTGTGCTAGTAAGCATAACAGTACGATACTAAGCAGCATGTACACTAATAACCCGTCTATAGATTTGATTCACAAGATATATTTTATACCATTCTGCACAGCCTTAGGGATTCATTTCAGATTTTTGACGCAAATGGCATTCGGAAGAAAACAATTCGTGTTTATGTAATTACCGAAACACTTTCGGACGTCGAAAGTTCCTTCGGGTGATTTAGTAATTGGCTTTTCCTGTGGAGCATTCTGCATTAGCGGTGTGTGTAATATTAATTACAGCCAAAGGCAGAAAGTTAATTGCATATTACTGCAAACTCTTGACCACATTTTGTACTAACCTAACACTTGATCTCTGCAGTCAATGTGTTGTCTTATGAAAGAAGGATGAATTATGTAGGGAAAGTGTTCTTTGATTCCCTTTTTTGTATTCATATTCATTACCGCAGTTTGCTAGGACTAGTCTTGCCCTGCTGTGCTGCAAACATGACTTTTTATGCTGCAAACATGAATAATATTGTACCTCAGATTGGGTGGTTTATTGAGGAAAGGTGTAGTTTTACAAGAGTTTGGACAGCATAAAATTGGTGGACAATGTGGGCACAAATTCCATAGACTTACATTGAGCAAGGAACTCTGAGCCATATATACAAACCATAATATCATAGAGACTTAACAGTGGTCTCTTTTGGGCTTAGGCCTACAGCAACCACACAAAACACCCTAGAAACCACATAGCAACACCCTAGCAACCGCATTGCATCTCTTGCTGTCTGTCTTAGGAACAAAATGTGTACAGTCGTTACATGACACTGCAACATGATATCCTTGGACTCCATCCGTTGGGACTCAGGTTGTGCTCAGCCATTTGGGAAGAGGCATTTAGGATCCTTGCATAATTTATTGACCGCGCATCTGCCGGGCAATTGAAACATTAATGAGAAAGAGCAAAGAGGCTTGCAGCAGGGACAAGATTATTTTCTTTAGACGCACCACATGCCAACATCAACCAGATGAGCCTGTCCATCAATCTCCACGGGGCTCCCGCTCCAGGAGATACATGAACTGGATTGAGACACATCCTGAGTTTGGTGATGTTCATTAATTTAAGGAACGCTTGAAGAGTTCACACATTCATTTGAGACACAAAATGGTGCAGAAATACCTTGACGGGTTTGGATTGCTATCCGTAACTCTTCTCAAGCATGAGAGACAACTCTGAAAATCCTCTTTCTGGACATATTGTGAGTTAAAGGAGTTTGCCATCGTATTCAGAACTTGTTAGAATGGACAGAAATGCATTTACAGTTATACAATTTTGACTTCAAATTAATGTTTTAAGTTCAAAATACACTTTTATTGACAAAATGCAGTCAATTACCATAAACAACAACTTTGATTGATCCCTCAGTTTGTAAAACTGGAAGTTTGTAAAGATAAAATTGCAATAATGTGTATTTGGCAAGCCATTCTGGTGGGATTCCGTACAAAATTATTCCATACAAAAATGTGGGTTATTGAGCTGTATAATGTAAATATAATTTGAATATGCTATTTACATAATGTTGTGATTTGCAGCATTATTTAGATATTATTCTGTCAGTAACAATAAAGATTATGGTGATAATGGAAGATAATGGTGTCTCTCTATTTTAGTTTCTACATTCCAGAGTTAAAGGTCCATCAAATCAGTCAAGCTTAGATCAACAAATGAGTGTGGAGGATACTCAGTGAGTCAATGGGTCACAACTGCTGCAAATGGGGATTGGGAGGCTGCGCAGTGCATTAAAACAATTGAAAAGCCAAATATAAATGTCGGCCGTCATATTTATTCAGCCTTCAGGGGAAGTAGATGATGTTTCTGTCAAAGCTGAATAGCGCAGAGACAGTTTTACAGTGCACACGTAATGCAGTCAGACCGAAGCACACCCGTATGATTCAATACTCATTCACTTTGTTGCAAGCAGTCGATATGTTTAGTCTGAGAAGCAATTTAATCTCGTCCAATAATATACTTGAAAGGGTTACGTTTTCATTGGATGGATCTGGAGTTTCACCAGGTCCTTATAATACACCATATACCATTTTATTTGCATATTTTAATACTTTAGTACTATAAAGTATTAAATGGGGTGCTGTGTGTACATTAATGAGGGAAAAAAATTAACTTAAATGATTTTAGCAAATGGCTGCAATATAACAAAGAGTGAAAAATTTAAGGGGGTCTGAATACTTTCCGTACCCACTGTATATATATATACCATCCCACATTTTCCATCTCTCAGTCTCTCTTTTT